GCTCCCTGGCCGCCCCGGGGCTTTGTGCGCGTGGCGACCGCGGCTCCCGGGCGCAGGCCTGCAGACCCTCGGGGCTGCCGCTCGCAGCTGCAGCTTGGGCGGAGGCCGGGTCGGCCTCTCCCGGAGTGCCTGCGCCCCCCTCCCCCATTGTCCCGGCCTCGGGCCGTTTGCGGCTTCCAGGTTGACTTTTTAGGGGGTTGGCTCCTACTCTGCTAGGACTGTGCGAGCCGAGCATGCGCGCTGGCGGCGTACGTGTGCGGAGTGTAAGGGGGGAGGTGAGGTGGTGGCTTCACAATGCCGCCCCACGTGCTGCCAGATTTAAAGAGAAACGAGCCAGCAGTTTTCCCTGCTGTCCAACGCCCAGCGTATGTCATTCTCAGTCCAGGCGCTTCTTCCCCCTCCCCACGCCGTACTTAGCAACTCCTGGTCGTGGGGAGAAGCCAGAAGCTGGAAGGAGGAAATCCATCCTGGAAATAGACTAAGGGTTTGAGGGGTTAGTTAGAGCACCTTTCCGGCTTCCAAAGGGAAGAAAGGTTGTCAGAGACTGAAACAGATTGTATAACTAAGCTTATTATTAGACTGTGAGAAAGCAGGCTTGGACAAGTATTAAAAGTTCTAGATGATCAGGGGGAGCGACTTGAATGCAGACGATCTAACGATGCATACATACATACATCCAAAAGAAGAGGGAGAAAAACAGCGGAAGACGAACACGTTTATTGCATTTTGAATTTGCAAATACAGTTCACTTTTCTATGATTTTGAGGTTTCTTAAGGTATTAAGACAGTAATTCATGAGATAAAAACTTTAGAAAGTCCAAAAGAAGTTAATACTAAGAAAATGTGATTTAAAGTTTGACCAATAATAGGGCTAACATCAGGATTATTTAGAAACTACCTTCTGCCTAATTTAATGAAACAATATCTAGATTTTGATGGTTACTTGGGTTCCATTTTGCACTTTTTCTTTTTGTCAACGCAGGAGGGGAAGGCCCTCTATGAGGTGGATTGATTCAGTGACTGGGATAATTGGGATGGGAGTGTCAGAGACCGTGCGATTGACACAGGACAGAGCAGAGTTTAGGGCTGTTGTACTAAACAGTTGTTTAGGTCGCTATGAGTCGCAAGCGACTCGACGGCACATAACAACAACAACAACAACAACAATCTCGAGTAATGTTAAAACATTTCCAAAAGCTCCTTTATTATAGGTAGGTTTCTGATAGGCCATTAATTGTGCTTTAAAATACAGAATGATTTGTCTGTTCCAAGCCTCAAATATAAAATCAGGTTAACTTGCCTTCTTAATCTGAAATACTAGAAATATTCTTAAAATTTTGAAGGACATTAACATGCTTGAAATCTTCCAGAATAGGCTAAAGCAGTTTAGTTTTTTAAGTGAAATGTAAAAATAACAAGCTTCTTGAAAAGAGCTGATAACTACCAAAAAATGCTCTTGTATTTTAGCAGTGTATTGTTTGAGCTTTGTGGTTCCTTAATTAAATGCTATCTGAAAACAGAACATTTGAGACATTTAGTAATACTTTTGAAAACTTTGAAATGTATTGTGTAGACAGGCAAACTTGTAAACCAGTCTAGTTGCTAGCTAGCTTTTTACAAGCTCAGAACAGTGGCCAACCATGGCAGTGTTTATTGAACCCCTAGATATTACTTTATTGCTTGTGTATGGAGAATTTAGTGTGTGTGTTTTATTTTGTTTTTGTATATAGGGTCGCTATGAGTCGGAGCCGACTTGATGGCACCTAACAGCAACAGCAGCAACAGCAACAACTGTACTGAACCTGGACGCTATCAGAGTTGTGTAAAATGGTTCTTGGCTTTGCAAGGTTTTTCAACCTTGGCACTACTGACATTTTGGACCAGATACCTATTTGTATGAGGGCTGGACTTTTCATTATAAGAATATTTAGCAGCAATCGTGGCCTCTACCCACTAGATGCCAGTAGTAGAACACCCCTCCCCACTTCTCCCCAGCTGTGGCAACCAAAAAGCTCATTGCCAAATGTCCCTTGAGGAATAAAAGCATTCCTGGTTGAGAACCTTGAATTAAGTAAGGGTCTTAATGAAAACCATTTAACTACTGTGAAATTTAGAACAAGTAAGAGGTTCTTGAAATTAGATGATGTTGTTATGTGCCGTCGAGTCGTCTTCCGACTCAAAGTGACCCTATGCACAACAGCCCTAAACCCTGCTCTATCCTGCGCCAACCGGTTGTCTTTTTCTTTGTGGTAATTTTAATTTATTTATTTTACTTAAAATTGAATAGTAATTAAACTCTTGCAGTGTATTTTGCTAAATAAAAAAAAAATCCTGTGTATCTCAAGAAAGACATTTAAAGAGTTTCTAAAAGTGCAGAGTACAAAAAGGTTTTGCAATTTATACATGGCCTTTCTACAGCCCTGACCTCAAGTTTTCATGGAGGCAACTATCATTGATAATTTTTTGTGTCCTTTCAGAGGGATTTTGGTAGGTATGTATGGATGGATGGATAAGCTAACGTTTAGAGAGGATAACATGTACCAGATGCTGAACAGAGCATTTTACGTATATTCTGTCATTTAATTTTCATATTTAGGAAGGAGAGATTAAATAACTTTAAATTTACTCAGAATCAGTGTTGGCTGAATTTAAATTCGGGACCTCCTGATTTTAGAAAGTCTTGTTCTAAGTGAGATTTTTAAGGCAGTTAGTCATGCAAAGTACATTTAGCTATTGTCAGCATAAGGCTGTCATTCTGGAGAAAGAAGGAAAATGCCGTTGAATTTAATACGTTAAAGGTAGTGCTAAGCTTTTTGGTGTTGGCAGAAAAATTAGACCAATTGAATGACACTTTTCTCCTGCCCCTAACTTCATTACATATGATAAGGATTTATGGAATAAGGAGAGTTGGTTTTGGTTAAAAATATCAATTGCGTTTAATATCCAGAATGTAGATTTTTTGAGTTATACTTTGATAGGCATCTGTCACTCTATAGAGTGGAAGAATTCCCTTCTGCAATGTGATGATTGAGGTTTTTTTACATCATAGAAATTCTGATTGCACGTTTTAAAGTAATCCGGAAAATTCCAAAGTCTGTGGTCCCGTTGCAACCCTTGTAAGCAATTTAATTGTAATGAGTTCGCTATGTTATTCTCACACTTAATGGGCAATAGAATCACTTTATAGCCTTCCTTCAGCTCAGTTTGCATGTTTTGATGGGATCCAGTAATCTAATTTTCACAGCATCTTTTTGGGTGTTGGTGAAACTTTTGATCCTGAGCTACATTTTAAGGTTCCGTTAACTTTGCATGGGTTTTTGGTTGTTGTTGGAGGACCATGTTCAGGTTATCCCACTTTCTACTTTTGTCATTTTAGCAGCTCCGATGTTGATAGCGTATTCAGCATTTTCTTCAAAGGAAGAGTTACAAAGATTGAGTACATATTGATCATTTTCCACTTTGTCCAGATATGTTTTGGAGAACGTGCAGCCAGAGTGCTCCTTAGAGTTAAGGATGATGAGGCTTTGTGTCACGTACTTTGGTTTCGTGTCACTTACTTTGGGCATATTGTTAGGAGGGGCTATTGCTTGGAGAGCAACATACTTGGAAAGGTGAATGAATCCTCAAAGAGATTGATTCACACAATGCCTGTCGTAATAGGCTTGAGTGTGTCAGAGGTGATGAGAATGACACAGGCAGGATAGGACAGGGTTCAGCTCTGTTGTTCATAGGATCTTTGTGAGCTGTACTTGATTTGATGGTACCAAACAACAACATTGACCGTTCTGTATTGATACCGTGACATAGAATCTCATTAACAATTTTAAATCCAGTGGGAATAGGAAAATTAATTACTGACTCAGGGACATCAGAGTATTGGAAGATTCTCAGTGATTAATATTTTATTAAGAGTTAGAGCCATGTATTTGGAAATGAAAGAAAGTCTAAAAGTAAATTTGCTTTGCATCAGACAGACAGCTCATTATTTAACAGAACTTTTGCATACAGCATTCACTAGAAACAGTACAGCTATTACGTATTCTACTGTTGTCAAAAAAAGAATAAACAAACATTGGTGATTCAGGTTACCAGATGATCTAGTTATTGAACGTGCATCAAGATAGTGTTCATCTGATAAGTTGTGTTAAAGAATCCAAAAATGTCTTAATTAGTGAATAAGTTAATTTTCTTAATTTAAGGAATAGAATAATCTTTGGCTTAGACATTA